TTTTTTTTTTTTTTTTTTTTTTTTTTTTTTTTAGACGGAGTCTTGCTTTTTCGCCAGGCTGGAGTGCAGTGGCACAATCTCGGCTCACTGCAGCCTCCACTTCCCAGGTTCAAGTGATTCTCCTGCCTTAGCCTCTTCAGTAGCTGGGATTGCAGGTGCATGCCACCATGCCTGGCTAAATTTTTTTGTATTTTTAGTAGAGACGGGGTTTCACCATATTGGCCAGGCTGGCCTCCAACTCTTGACCTCGAGTGATCCGCCCACAGCAGCCTCCCAAAATGCTGTGATTTTAGATGTCTTTATAGATTTATTCTGTAATCCTGGGACAGTTCTTTGCTTTTATTGCCTCTCCTTGTTGAGTGACGGTAATTAATGCTAAACCCACCTCACAGGGGTGTTGCCAGGATTAATGTGAAACTGTCATCTGAACCAGCACCTTCTCTGTCACTAGGAACTGCACTTTCCTAAAAGTGGGTCATGTTTTTACAGGAATGGGCTTTGTGTTTTTCTCTCAACAGTATTAACAGATAAGCTTGCTATTTATCTGAATTGGTCTAGGGATATCTCAATGGATCAGAATTTGATTTTCAATCACTGAGATTGAATTTTTCTCTCTTAATGTCAAAGGTTGGTAGCTTTGCAAAGATTATAAAACTTTCGAAGGCTGACCTGAAGATCAGGTATGTTTATATTTCTATTATATGTTCAGCTGTCTTAAGAATGTACATTTTATGATGGAGTATAACAAACTACTTCTCCAGGAAGAACATAGTGTTTGCATGTCTGCATATGTGTTTTAAGCCTAAAATGGACCCAAAGCACACTTCTCTAGTGCCTCCCTCTTGACGGATCTCCTTCTTTACCCCCTTCTACCTCTTCTGAGGGCAGCCTTCCTCTGACATGATGTGGAACCATTATAACTTACTGATCTTATTCCAGAAGTGTTTATTGATCCTCATAACCATGAACAAAGACTGCAGCATCTTCACCGTGGAAATGCTTTCCAGTGGTTTTTGGTTTTTATTTAGAGACAAGGTCTTGCTGTGTTACATGGGCTGGCCTCTTTCTGGTTCAAGCTATCCTTCCCACTTGGCC